ATGTGATAATTACAATTAATTAAAATAATATGTAATTAAAAAAAAAAAAAAAACCTAATTACATTACAACCCTCATTGATATAATTTAATTTATTATATTTTAAAGAATTAGTTAAAAATGTTACATGCCTACAACTATTCTCGTATTTTCGCAAATTACATGGGTTTTCGTTTGAACCCTACCCTGTGTGTATATCTATACTATATTAATAAGCATTTAGACCAAAAGTCTTAAATGCAACCTATAAAGCCCAAAGTATTACCCTTTTATGCATAAATTTCAAAAACCTCTTAGTTACAACTTCACATGCATGAGGTACAATTGTTGATGCACATCTGACACCACCAACAACATCCAACTTGAAACTTACAACTTTGCTTTATTTCGTTCCAGCTTTTTTTTTTTCTTATTATGGCCCTGTTAGTTTTTACCTAAAAAGCACTTAATACCCTCTTATGTCTGAATCGGTCAGACCTTAGGTATTAAGTGTGTTTGTTTTTTTTTCAATTAAGAGCTTAAAAGCTCTGATTATGTCTGAATTATTAAGAGGTAACATTTTCACTTAAAACCTCTTAATTGCTTTTAGAGCTTCCAATGCTTGCAAAGAAAGCCTAGATTTCAATGATTCAGATTTCAGATTTCAGACGTAAAAACAAACAGTTTGACTGATTCAGATTTCAGACTTCAGCATCACCTCTTAAAATTCAGAAGTGAATTCAGACTTCAGACTTAAGCACCTCTTAAAAAACAAACGTCACCTAAGAGTTTTCTTTCTTTCTTTGGTATCTTCACACCATTCTTTATTCATTCAAACTTTTATTTTAACTAATTATAGCTCTCCTTTGCAAAAAGGTGGATATTGATTTCTATTTCGGGTTGTATAAGATAATTTATTTATTTTTTTAAATGTATTCACTGGATATCTGTTTCTTCCTTCATTATAATTATGTGGACAACATAATTGATTATCGTGTCTATGTACAATAAAATTCACCTTGATTCTTTATTTGTTACATTGTACTTGATTACATCATGTTGTATTGCACGGGTACTTAACTATAAGGAATCGAGGTTTAAATATTTCTAAGGGTTCCCCTATAAGATCGAATGTTTAAATAAAAATTTTGTACTTTTTAATGAATAGTTGCACTCGTTTTTAGTTGTAGGCTTGTTTGAAAATTAGACATCCCGCCGTATTACGCGAGTACACAACTAGTATATGTATATGTATATATTAAATTTGGATACAACCTTGTAACGTGTTCTAAATTTATGAAAATAATTAATTAAAATAGTTCGTATATTTTTTTGACGTGAATCTTGCGCGATACCCAGAACTAATAATTAATATATAAAACCGACAACCTTTTTAATATCGGGTGACCAAATTGATTCTTTCGTTCGATAAATCCCAAGTAGAATTAACAAAAGAAAGTAGACAATGAACCATAAAAGTAAGGGAAAAAAATACGAGATTACACGAATGGATGGTCTTCTTAACGTTATTTTATTGTTATATATGTTGCCACCCACTTGGTTGTGTTCATCGTTGAAAATTATATATATATATATATATATATATATATATATATATATATA